TTCATAATCCGTCTGTTTTCTGTAGAATGCGGTTATTTAAAGCAACAAAGTTCACTTCAGAGATACAGTACAGTAGCTGCTGTTTATGTTGATATTTCTGGTAAGGCTCAATATTGTCTATTTTCCATTCTATCTCAGTACTGCCTTTAATTGCCTCTGTCCACCAGATTTACGTATTATCCCTCCTGGCTGTTCACTCCCAGACTCTCCTTTACTTGGCAACCTTCTAGTTACTCAGTACTACAGACAGAGGTACTAAAATGGCAGAGCAGTTGATGAGAGTCAAAATAAAACTGAATTATGTTATACTACGTGGCCTACAGTTAACTGAACAATTAAATAACAGAGCCTCCAAGACCGTCATCAAAAGTTCTCTTTTTCTTTGCTAAGACTGCTCATTTCAAGTACTTTTGGACACGAATGTAAGAAGGCTGAAGAGGCTTAACATATCTCCAAGCGTTATCCAATTCCATTATTTATCACTACTCCAAGGAAGGGTAAGTTAGAATTAATGGTTCTCTTTCAAATACCAAATGCAAGTTATTCTTGCAGGACTTGGCCTCATAACCCTGACACTTGAGACCTGGGGAAGGAGACTCCCTGGAGTTTCCTGCAGGTAATTAACATACTCAGGCTGACGCAGCAATGTCTACATATGCCTAAATGCAAGGATGTAAGGAAACTTAATGATTTTAATCTCACTCTCAATATGCTTAAGAAACATGCACGTATTTAAGTATCTTCTTGAATTAAGGCCATAGCTTTTTGCATTTTTCGTCTACCCATAGAGCCGCATAGGCCAAGACCTAATGCGCTCAAACCCCGCGGCTCTGTCATTGCCAGTGGCTGCTGATATATGGAAACCAAGGACGGGCTGCTGTGACCCGCGGTGAAGAGCTGCTTTGGCTGCACTGCTCATCCCACCCACTGGTGCACAGGCGAAACCCTTGGGCTTCTGGCAGGTTGCCACTGTAAACTCAGTGCAGCATATGTTAGCCTGAGGAGGGAATAAGGCTCCAATATTGCGCTTCAGATGCTGATCAGTAAAGCAGGCACTTGAAAACAAGTGTTTATTTAGCTTACGCAGTTTGTGGAAAGAAAAACAGCCCCAGGAATTTGAAGCTAGAAATGCCAGAACAGTCAGGTGCATCAGATTACTAAGAGTGATCTTCCTTCCCACTACCTGCAGCGAGGACGATCTGACCACGCTGTCCTTCCCAGACATGGATCTGGGCAAGCAACTGAAATGCAGCTCAACAAAAAGCCATTCAAAAGGCTCAAGACCAGGGACTCAGCCAATAACAAATAAACACCTGGAGATGGAAAATCCTTCTCCTTTTTTCCTCCCACATGTTTTGGGATCATCATGCCAGGAAATGTATTAAATCACACAAATTTCAGTCACAAATGTGTGGCTTGGATGGCACACTATATTGCTGAGGAATATGGCTAAGGAAAATAGCAATAATTAAAAATCCTTTCAGGGTCAGTAGTGAAGAGAGGTCAGAGAGTCAAACTACAACTTACACTGATTTCTGAAAACAGTACTGATGTGAGAGGACGTTTCCCGATATTCACGCAGGCAAGCATTAAGAGAAAGTGCGTACATTAAAATCAGAGGAATCTCAGCTTAATATTTTCTACTATGATTCAGCACAAAGGTTTTGCTTGACTGGAAAGGCACTGCCACCTAATCAGGAGAGGGGGAGAGCAGCCTTGTGCTTTCTGTGTCCGGAAGTCCATTTTTATGCCTCTTGAGACCACGGCTTCTTTTGCTGGGCAACAAACGCTAGCTTGTAGCGTGCTTGAGTTATACTGCAGCTTAAGAAGGTTGGTGCATTCATAGCATTCAAAACAGGACCCTGCAAGCTAGGACTTTTCCACTTGGACTTCACTTACTGCTCCAGTTTAGCTTTCGTTCATTAGTCCTTGCTAAACACGTACCAAGGAAAATTAATACATCACCGAATTATTGAAACCATGTCCTTTAGGAAAGAGAAATATAGAAAATCCTTCTCTCTGTATCATGACACAATATTTTATGACAAATATTTTCTCCTTATACCTGGGGAGCGCACAGGGTGTGAGGCCGCAGCCGGCAGGCTGCTGCACTGTTGCTGCCTGTGCTGGAGTTGCCACTTTGAGCGTTATGTGGTATGGGGGGGATAATCCCAAAGACGGGGGCTAAGGATTAGCACCCACAAAAGTTGCTAGGTCCTGCCTATGCAATATTACCACATGCAGCTCTAGGAATAAAAGTGAGTGCCAGAAGTGTCAACAGCCTGTAACACAACATGAATGAAGCAGGTAAGATGATGCTCGAGGGTCTTCTCAGCGGCATCGTCAGCAGCTCAAGTATTTTCAGGGCTGCAGAACTTTGAAATCAGAATTGCCTCAACAGGTCTCCATCAAATTCCCGCCTTTTAAAGGCCCTTGGCTTGCAACACAATCACATAACAAATGAACAGGTAAAAAGTCCTTGGGCATTCAGTACTGGTCATCCACATTCATTACTGTGGAAGGCAAAATACAGACTGAGGCTGTGGCTGCCCCACAAAGCTCTCTCCACGTGCAGGTAACTGCAATCATGTTTTAACCTTTGCTTTCTTACATGGCAATTTTGTAACTTTAGTATTCACCTGGCACTGCTGGACACCTTGGCTGACTTCCTGCCTAGACAGCACTTGAACAGGGAAGGAACATCCTGTCATTGTCATCCAAGAGGATCGGAGGGCAGAGAAGTAAACACACTGGCCAATCCAGACACAAGGCAATGCAGAAAACAGGACAGTAAAGTAAGATGATCAAAATCTGACTTCATGAATATTAGTATGAATTGACTTAGTACTGAAATTACTATGATTCTTTCTGGAAGCTAAGAATTGACCGTGTTACCACCCTTTTCAGTCACTTCACACAAGGGAATTGCTGCAGGCATTTTTCTTTGAAGGCACCCAAAGATACCACTCCACTAACCCTGCAGCAGACAGGCGTTAGATGCAAAGCCACACTGCAATTACACAGAAACTCTGAGACAGGAGGAGGACTCAACTCCTCCTCAAAATTGAGTCAAATTCCTAAATAATCCTAAATAATCCGAGCTCAATGCAGTGTTAGGACTGGCAGAATTAATATACATATGAGAGTCTCTTGAAGAGAATGCTTCTTCAGTTAGCTATTTCTTTCCATAGGATAGAGAGTGCACGAACATTAGGGATGACAAAGCAAAAAAAGTTGGGAAAGACGTAGGAAAGGTTCAGCTACAGAAAGCAAAATGTAAGATGAATCACTTCATTGAATATGGAGAGCAACTAAAAGCCAGAAATTATAAATATCCCAGCTTAACCTAGCTGACCTTGGAAGACTGTAAGAAGATACACTGGAGCTGGACAAAGATTTCTTATGAATACTATCCATCAACAAGACAGAACAGTTTTACAATTACTATGAAGGAAGAAGAAAAATCCTCTAGAATTAAGATGCCAAAGAGACCAGCTGTTTTCCCCAAAATATGCACAGATAGAGATAGAAGCACTTGCTAGAAGGTTCTGCCTCACCAGCAGCAAAGTCCCAATCCATCTAGACTTTTTATAGCTGAGGCAGGGCTCCAAAGTCACCGTACTTAGAAAACCTTGCCTGGCAGTGAGGGATCTTCTGGATTTGGCAGTCAGTTTGTTCTGCAGGTACCTCCCTGCTTTCTCTCAAGTGAGCCTTACCAAGCCTCCAATTCCGGCCCCAGTGCAGTTGTTCTTTGCATTTTCCTATTCTGGGAGTCCATAAAATATTTATCTGGAAGCAAACAAATCAATCCCCTACCAAAAGGGGATGAAAACTGTAGAGCTCTCTCTTTCCAAAGCCGAACCAACCAAACCTCTTCTCAGAGGCAGAGGGAAAGAGAGAGACAGGCAGAAACACTGGGGTCCTTTTCTCCAATAGCCCCTGCTCTGCCTGCTGTTACATACTTGCATGAACATCCTTCATTCAGCTCCCCTTTCTCTCATATTTCCCAGAAACACAGGGGCTGTGTTGTAATCAAGCAAGTTCTTGAGAAAGCACAAAAGGGCCGAATGCCTGACCACCCGGTAAACAAAAAATCACCCTAGACTTGTGTTTTGAAATGCTCTGAGATTCAGGAACTGATTCTGCATGCAAGTATAGCAAGCTAATAATATTCCTTGCAGAGACCCAGAATCCATTGCATTACTCCATTCTTTATCGTCTTCCACAGGACTCTTGGCATTATTTTTCCATATGCAACAAGGTGCAGAGATGGAAGAGCTCTCCCTTCCCGTTTGCTGAAGAACGGTCAGTGCTGCAAGGGCAGCAAAATGGCAAGATTTTAAAATTCAGACAAGTTCAATCTCTTTCTAGCATATTGATTTTCCCTTTTCAGAACTTTCGTAATAGCATTTCTGAATCTTTGCTTTATGGCGCTGAATAAACTCCATCACCCCCCACAACAAAATTCAGAACCCAACTTTCTCCATTCATATAGAGATAACAGCCTAACTAGAGGTTAGGGCATTCTGGAGATTTTTGACATCCCCAAATTTGGGACCACACAGCAATGTTATACCCACTGCTTTTACGCTTTCAAGATGGAACAAAATTTTTGTGCCTCATTCCTAGTCTGCCCTCCTTCCTATCTTCACATATACAACCAGTTAATGGTATTCCTCATAGATACAAATACCTATGGAAAGATATTTTTTAAAATTAGTATCTTGGGTTATTTTATCATCACAAGTTTAGCATAAATGCATGCCTGCTTGCATTCCTCTTTCAGGATCCAGAACCAACTCAAAAGTCAAGTAGAAATTTAATATGCTCATTTTATTCTCCAGAAACAAAAATAACCACCTGCAAACTAATTCTGATCTAACTGGCACAAAACCTAAATTCAATAGACTAGGTCTACCATTTTAACAGATCTTGTTATGGGGAAGAAGTGTAAATGCAATTATACTTTGAATAACAACAGGAAATAAAGGCAAAAACTCTCCATGAACAAAAAGCACCTTTATTGACCATCTTATCATTCAGCACTCATTTGATTCAATATCCGAAATGGCTGAACTACAGTCCAGTTTATCATTTAAATAAGAGAAAAAGACATTTCAATCTGACTTGTATAAAAAGTGTTAAATTTGGGTGGCCTATAATTAAAGATTAAAAAAAGCCGTATACACAAATAATTACTACCTGCAATTTTGACGATTAAGCTCCATAAGTTTCAAAGTCAAACATAATATATCTCCTCCACATGACATTAATCTTAGAAGTGCCTACAAAACTCCATCTGTTCTGAAGGCAGTGTGGTTGGAAAGTATTTTCTCTTTCGCCATTTAATAAATTACATCACTTCATAAAAACTACTAGGCAGCAAATTTTTCAGATAAATTTGACACATTAAAACAAAAAAAAGCTAAACAACCAAACTTTTTTCAGGGAAAGGCCAGATTCATAAAGATAGCATTTTGTATATAACCTGAGTAAAGGCAGTAGTTTCTCCTAGGAATGCTGGATGGCACCCATACTATGCCCTCATATTACATTATATAGCGTCCCAATGATTTCAGTAGGCCAACACAGCTCAGCACAGCAACAAGTCTTTGCAGCAGAGACTAAAATTCAGCTGCGTAACATCATTTGTTACCATATTCAAGTCAACGCTCCAGAAATTTATGATCAACTACACCTAGGAAACTAGTAGCCAAATTTCCTGTTACTTCTTTACTTCTCCCTGCTTCTCTCCTCTCTCTTTTTTTTTTTCCTTCTTCCAAATTTATTAGCACACCTTTAAAGAGACAAGCAAACTTCATTTTACAAAGATGACAACAGATTTTTTTTGTTGCTATCTTATTCTTAACTTAATATCAAACTTTTACTCCAGCCAATAACAACAACATTAATCATAGCTATTTTGCTGCAAGGACACTGATTCTTATGTCAACATGAATATTTAGGCAGAACAGTTGGTTTAACTTATCAAGTTAGCACCTCAGTGAAAATTCAGTTTCTTCTGAAAGTCCTGTCCTTAACACAAGATAAGTTTTGCAATGGTATCCAACAAGAAAGAAAAATTACTTTATCTCAGAGACTAAAAAGGAAAGTTATAGAAATAAGTCCTCAGTAACATACGCAAGATGAGTTTTCCTGGAAAGGCAAAAATCATGGGTTTTTTTGTTTTTTCCCCCCTTTTAATTTCCCCTTTCTGCAAGATGCAAAGTTATTTTAGCCAGCAAAAAAAATTTAATCACTATTACAAAACAGTATTGTGTCTTCATGTCACTTAGACCTAAATTCTTTAGCAGCAGAAAGTATAAAGCATTTTTATGAAAAATGAGAAAGGAAAGGGAATTAAGTTTGCAGCAGATAAAGATTCTGTATGGACATAAATGATTATTCCCACAAAAGAAAGCCAATATGCAAAGTAATCTTTTAAAACAAGGCCATTAGACAAAAGTAATAAATAGAGCAGGAAAGCCCAAGCAGTGAGAAAATAAAGGCATGTGCTACTCACTGAAACAGTGAATGGGATTGTTAGAAGAGATGAGAAGTTAGACCTTTGTATAACTTCCACATGGCTGAGTTCCTGGTTTTCTAGTCTGCTTAGATGACAAGGCACTCAAAGCAGAAAAAGAGATTTTTTTGAAATTCCCCTTTCCTGTCTGCTTTTTAAAAGCATCAAAGATACCTAACCAGGATACAGGAAACTTCTAGTAAGGCTGATATAACTAAACTGCTGATCAAGAAAACTGAGTCCATTTTGTGAAGTAATTTAGACTAGGGGGAAAAAAGAACAAAAAAAGGAAGAGCTTACATCAAAAGAGTGACTTATTCACTCTTAAACCAAGTGAAATTTGTGCTTGGATTCAAGCTGCACGTTTCTTTTTATTACATACAGCAGAACTAGATCTTCCAGCTACATGTCTTATCTGTTAACCGTTAACTCAGTGGAGAAAATGTCAGCCTACATCCCAGCTACCAAAGTCTTATTTTGGAGAGTCAAGTTGTGACATAGTTACATTAAGATGAAGGTAGATTTCAAACTAAAAGGAGTGTCATTAATTATTAGGGAATTTTTTTAATATTCTCTGTTGTGGATAGAACTTAAAAGTCCCTCTTCTTAAAACACAAATATGTCTGTTAATCAGCACTGGGGAAAAAAAAATTCTTTTCATCTTTTTAATTAAAAAGGGGAGAGTCAAATAAGAAATCAGAACAGGTACAATCAAAATTTCAACCTAACTTCACTAAGGTACTCAATAGTTTTGAAAACTAACGATCCCTTCTATCTACAAAACAAATGCATCAGCCTTCTTGAGGTATCAAATCAAATCATTCATGAATATCCTGGCAGAGAAAGGGAGAATTAATCACGGTATACACCCGCAAGAGTATATAATATATTGATATTAATAGGCTTTTTCAAGCTTCCAAGTGAATATACATGACATAGTGAAAATTGAAAAGCTATTAAAGATACTCAATAATTCATAAGTTTTTATGTCGCTGCAAGTCACAGCTTTTTTCGGGGACTGAAATCAATGATATCAGTAAGATAAGGTGAAACATTGGCTCACCTTAAACCTCTTTCACAACTCTACTTTGCTAGTAACCCCAGGAATAATTATTTTTCCATAACACAATGCCCAAGCGTAGCTTGGGCTTTAGTGATTTATTTTTCTACGAGTGAACTTTCATGAGACCTAGCAAAAGAAGAAATGCTGAAGATTTCTTAGGTCTGGTTTTAGAGTCTGGTACATTTTGCAGCAAGTTAGCTCAAAGTAATGAATCCCTTAAAAAAGGAAAGGAGAAAGGAGCCTGAATGCCACGTTCCTAAAGGATACAAGCCTGATAATCCTTAACCCCAAGATCATCCTTTCATTTATAAGGCACACGGCACCAGCTCAAAGTGACTATCACTTCTTAGCCACTCATTGTCATTTGTGATAGTGAGTGTTGCAATACCGACACAAGTCCCTACTGTGATGTGTACAAAAAAAAAAAAAATTGGAAAGGCCCAACTTGTATCTGGAAGACTCAAAAACATTTTTGAACTTTTCATCATCTGCAGGAACTTTTTGTACCTGCTAAAGTCAATGCTGAAACATGTGAATCATAGCTAAGTTTCCTAAAAACATTGACATTAAATAAGAGACTATAGCATCTCACTCCCTAATCACCTTTGTTTGAAATAAATATTAAATTAAGGAACTATCTCCTACAAACTGTTCATACAAAATCAGTCCAACTCCCCATTTCTAAACTAGAAGCTATTCTTCAAATAACCACCTAACTGAGGAGGCTGAGAAACAGCAGAAAATGAAAAAGCAGAAGGTGGCAATATATATGAAAGAAGCTTTTAGAACACATAAGTTTGAATCCTGATGTTGTTACCCAAACTTTTTGCGTCACTGTCAATCAACATTTCTTGCACACCATACAATACCCTCACAGATCTTTACTGAAAATACTGTAAAGGAGAAAATTCTGTGACTCAGTCATAAACACCATGGTTTATGGATCCACCATTTGGGAAAAGTCATCCTAGGAAAGGGAACAAGTACAGGATATTATCATTGTTGCCTGATACCTTTGATATTTTACAACTTCCATGGAACAGTTTGTTCCTTAATCCCCAGAAATGCTAGAGGGCAGTCACATAGAACTATTTTTACAGCTGGAAATCAGCATTTTTTCAGAATTTAGACTAGCTCTAGGTAAACAAGATTAGCAACATTTGTTCTGAACCAAGCAGCACATTCCGTTTTCCTCCACCCTCTCCCCAAAACAGAGGGGAAATGTAGTTACTTTTCTCATTACAGCTCTCTGGCCAAAGATACTGAAGCATTGTGGACTACAAATTCCTCCATATACACGACACACAGTAATGTAACTGAGCAGGGTATCCAGCCCAAAAGCATTTACCAAGTGCTTGAAGATTTTACTCAACATGCCCTTTTCCCACCTTGTTTACATTAGGAAAAAACTTAAGGTAAAGATATTATGCTGCATATAAGATTATGCAATTTTAATGACAACAAAATCAACAACATACCAAGAAGAAAAGTAGATGTTGCCCAAGATTTTTTTTCTGAGAGATCTGTTGAGATAGGACAGCCAAGACGACCTGATGCTGAAGTAAAAATTTCTACGAACCCTTTAAAGTTGTCGGACTTTTTTATCAGTGCTTGCAATGTTGACATCCAGTGTCTCTACTTTTTTAGTTAGCCGATCAAGCATATCATCCTGCTCCTCTATTTCTGTCTGCAGACCGAGAGCTAGGTTTTTCAGACGACTCAACCCAGAAGACATCTCATCTGTCAAGAGACAAAGGAAGCATAAGAATTCAAAGCTGTAGGAAGCGTACCGTTTAAGTGGACACTATGAAGATTCACTCTTCTCCAAAGGCTTTTGGGTTAGAAAACATTAGTGACAACTACTCAAACTTGAGGGTGCTTCTGCTATTGCAGAAGAACCAATATTTTATGACTGCTAGTGCATTACTACCAGAAAGTAATTACTTCCCTCTTTTTTCCACTACCAGTAAAGTACAAATGCTTAAAGCCAAATTGGATCTCTATAAGGTACTAAATAACGTAGCTCTTAATTTTTCTTACACGTATTTTAAAGTAGGGCACAACTTTTCTCAGCTCTCTATACACAATATGCTCACTTCCTCAATTATTTTTCTTTGGACTGATCTTCACTGCAGAGATATAATCCATATACTAAAGATTTAACCAGCTAACTGTTTAATGTAGATGAAAAAATCCCATCTCCAAATTCCAGATTTTGTAATTAAAGCTACAGGGAAACAAGTTCATTGCATGACTGACTGGCACAAATGTTTCTGAATCTAGTAAGTTTTGTGTGGTCTGGGAGCAGAACAAATGTGCTTCCATTAACTCTTATGTTTGACTACTCCTTTTTGATCTAGTTCTTTCTGATTTCTTTCCAATCTCGTCTTTCTAGGTCAGATAAACAGGGACACATGTAAGCAAAGAGGCATTTTGTATACATACACTACAGAACAAAAGAAGAGAAAGTCAGCTGTATGTTTTTTTGGAAGTAATGCCAAAAATACAGATAATCCACAAATGAAATATTTAACGCCTTTTGATTCTTCTATTTTCTGCAAAACATGTATTTATTTCAAAAAATAAATACACACAACCGTAAATTTTTTGGATCCAAACTGATGTACAATTTACTAACAGAGTTTTAACGGTCAGCCAGGTAAACTGAATGCATCTTTCAAAGAAAGAAGTAAGCTCTATGTAACGCGGAATTAAGCATCCATACCGTTCTTATTTGGATGTTAACCTGAGGCAGTATTTCCTTCTTGAGATTACTAACGCCTGCCTAGTAAGATTTTTCAGAATGGGAAGATGAGCTCGGCCCAGTGATATTCCAGTCCACTTACAGCATGACCCAAAGAAACATTTTCATACCCTGAATGCAAATCTTGTGAAATACATCAGCAGTATTTCCTCACTCAAATGACAAAGATCTGCTAGCATATGAACACTTATTAGTAAGAGTGTTTATTATGGTCAATACTTGGCTTAAGAGAATTAATGCTTTTGGTGTGGGTTTTTTTTTTCCTCCTGGTCCCTTTGTTCAGTGGCAGTTCACAAACCAAAGATTTTTAAAGCACAAGAATGTAACAGAACTACTGAAGTATTGATGCCAGTTACATATCAGTTCTCATAGTAGGTTTATATTATTCCAGGCATCCTAGCCAGTTTGTTTTCCGCCGATTTCATATGAAATGCATTTTTAACTCAGATTTGTCACTTATCTTTGCAGGTAGCTGACCCATAGATGTCCCACAGCATTCAACCATTCATATAGCATATGTTTCAGTCAAACATTGGATTCTGCCAGGTAGATGGTTTTGAAATGCAGACTACAAGCAAATGATTTTTTTTTATTACCAAAGTTCAGAAATTAATTAAATAAAAAATGTTGGCTCGGAACATATTATTAAATTTATCTCTGTCTCGAGAGCCAAAAACTGAAAATAGGATTATGTCAGACAGCGTCAATTTTCTCACTCACCCAAGTTGTTATCAATTTTCTGGTGGTAAGCTCGCAGATGTTGATTCTTCGGATAAGCATCACGTTGCACTGAAGAAACTGAATCTGTTCTGCTGAAATCATTGTCTGTTAACAGCATAAAACACAGAGTGTTATATAAATCAAAGCTGTAAAGAAAAGTCAGGTTTTAGAAGAATGTTAAAAACTAGTCTGACTACAGATGCCACATAATTACATAAGCTGCTAGAAGACTATCAAAAGCAGTCCAGCATCACTATCTATAGGACATCTCTCAAGATGCAGTTATTAATATATACAACTGGCTGCATATCAAAGCTGTAATTGTCCTCTTCCCAATTGCCTTTTTTCTCAGCTACCCAGCAGAGCTGCAGAAAACAAAAGAGGTAGCAATTTCTGCCAGCATTAAAGTGTTCTCCTAGGTCAAGCCACCTGAGAGTTGTTTCTGCCCTCTGCTGGACAGTCTTTTAATATTATGAGTGGAGATTAATGCATCTAAAAAGAGTCCCAAAAGATTCAAGAAATGATTTTCAGTCAGCTGAGGAGCTTCTAGCTTTTCTGTAAACACATGCATTGTCAATTTTACAGAGCAATGCTGGGTCATCATCTTGTAGTTTCAGTTTGAAACACTAGAAACGTACTTCCTGCACATCGTGTAAAAGTTGAAAAATTATCTATTCGGATTAGCTTGATTTCTAATCAGATTTATCCAAACTACTTATCTAACATTGTATTTCTGAATGTGAATATTTTAGGTAACACCAAAAAAGTATTTCTTTAGAGATCTACAACTCTAAAGACATGCTACTGTTCTCTCACTCTTACCAAATGAATAATTGAACCTCATTTTAAAGAGTAACTTATTTTGTACACAAAAGTCATTCACAGAAGTTAGCTCACTGTGAGAAAGGGGGACGAAGCCAAACCCTCACGTGTGTTTCCTCATGGGAATAAAATACTGACTTCAGTATGGCGGGTTAGCCTGTGTTTGCAATAACATGGAAAACACATCTGACAATTATGGCAAACCACAGTAAAAGACAACCTCTGAACCTACATGTTAACAGTTTGGCAATCATTGGATAAGGCTGCCCGTACATTATGTGGATTCTTGGCCATAGTCTCCTCTGTGCAAATACAAACACCGAATCCTTTTTACAGTCTTTACTGGATACAGCATTATTCCCTTGCAGAAAGGGCTAAAAAAATCCATATATAAGTAATGTTTTCATGTCTTGGGCAAAAAGAGTTTTAGGGACAAGCAATTCCCTCGAACTGTTGGTCATGAAAGCTCACGTGCAAATCTCTGGCAGGAGTTAGGTAGCAATGCATGACAAGAGCTGGGCAGGCTGAAGGGTCTGTGCCTTTACCACTGTGCAAGTCTCCTCTACTGGGAGGAGGACAGACATTCAACATAAAATAAAATTAACAAACCTGAATTATCTAGCCTCCTTAAATTTGGATGACTTTCCTGGTATTTTGACTCTTGCTCTTTGCTAGACATCATTGCTTCTTTTAATCTGGTAACGCAGAGAAAAACAAAACATTCTTATGTACCACAGGCTTGAGTCTGAATCTGTTAAACAAGAACAGGTATTTTGTCCAAGAAGAGTGAGTTTGTTAGGCCCAGTTCAACATGTCCCTTTACAAGGAACTGTTAGCATTTGTCTTCAGTGAAAGCACAATAGGCCCCTATGGTGCTGAAGATATCAAAGCTTTGATATCAAGACAAAATTGCTTCCTCATTCTTGGGGACAAATTATTCCTTTCCTCTGGGGGGTGGGGAGGGGAGGGGATGGCTGAAGAGAGATAAGTACTGTAAGATATTCACCTTCACAATATTTATTTTTATTTACAGCTTTTAATAAAAGGTAGAGAAATATACATAACATTTAACAGGAAGCATGTCGATGCTGCAAATCTCGATTTCCTGATAAGACTGGAGTAGGCGCAATAATTCAGAGGGCTCCAAGGAATTACCTGTGATGGCATTTCCTACAAATATGATGTTATTCCTATCACTACTAATATAAAGAAAAGTAAAAATACTTCTAGCAGAGTCAAAGGAAAAAGGATCAACAGATTTCCCTTTATATTTTAAGTTCCAATTTTCCGCTGACTTTTCAGACATGCCACTGGAGATCCAAAAAAGGTCAAAAGGGTAAATGGATTAGGTGAGGAGTTTAGGTGGAAGATATACGAGTGAAACTAGGGAAATTTTGAGAAGACTTTGAGGAGAAAAAAAACAAAAAGCAGGAAAAAAAAACCCAGGAGCCTGGTACTTGGAGAAGTATGGAAGAACACAGTGCGTGTATGCACAGAGTAAAAAGTGAGGGGCCCTGATAACAGAATAAGGGAGGAGTAGGTGACTGGTCTATGTCTCGCTTTACGAAGTACTTCAAAAGAACTACGCTAGATTCAGAACCTCACAAAAAATGTTTAATTCCAGGCAGGTCTCCTGCTTGGCCCCAAGAAAGTACTATCATACCCAAATAAAACATTTATTTCACTTACCTACTGTGAGCATTATACTCAGGGGCTCCGTTCTGCTCTGGCTTGCTGTCTGGAGGTTTGGGTTTGAAGTAGCTTACCAAGCCTCCAAAAACACTCTTAATGCTATTTATGTGTCTTTGACTAGTCTTCAAGTCCTGGTCCATTTTGTCTACCATTTGTTCTGTGCGCTTCAGTACCTCTCCCTGACGTACAAGCTCCTAAAAATATTTACAGAAAAAGGGAAGTTAGTAAGGATAAACTGCAATATCAAACATTTTTAACAGGTACTCTGAAGAAGAATGTTTAACAGAGTTCCTCCATCTATCCACGTTATTTTTAAAGGCATCTAGCCTTTCCACTTACTCCTTTTCCTCCAGGGCATTTCAATCAAGAGTTGCTAGTCAACCACAATGATATGCTATACCAGCTATAAAATTCTCATAACTAAGCAAAGCCCAGTTTCCTGCCACCTACTACAAACAGGATCTAGGAAGTTTTTGTATTGGCCCTCTGTCAGGTTGAAATTTCTATCTGTTCTTGCTGGAACAAGCGTTGTACCAGATGGGTGATGTAGCGAAAACTATGTTTTATCGCATGTGGCTTATGGAATGGCAATGACCAAACAGAATTGCTTCTAGTTGTATCCCCTATCAATGAAAGTCTCATCCACTATTTTCACATTACTGTGGTGTTCTAGATAATTTGGAAAAAGAATTACTACCGGAAATAACTAGAATTTTTCCATACTGCATGATTATTTTTTTTTTTTGGTGCTAATACCCAAAATGCAGGATTTAGAAATCCTGATACATGCAGCTATGTCATTTACTAATTCAGGGGCACAAACAGTATTCCAAAGCAGTCCAAAGATTAATTCTAGCAGTAAAGTTGCCTGTGGCTAACACTAATGAGAAATAAAGACCGTAGACTCATATTCTCTCCAAAGTTTCGTGAATTCTAGTTGAATATACTTACCTCCTCACTCAAGCAATCCAGCTCAGACAATTCAAATTCTACCATTAACCCTACATCAAGTCTATGTCCTCGACTGCTTTTTGGGCTTCTCTTAAAAAAAAGAAATCACACCTTGGCAAGCTCACACAAGTGACACAAATAGCCCTCTTCAGCCTAACTACCTATGACAGCCTGTGGATGGTCTCAGTATGACACAGGTCATCATGCTACTAACGTTCAAGTAAACACCCCATTAACGGGTGACATAATCCACATAGCCTTTACTAATGAGGTCTCTTAAGGTAAACCCTGTTCTGAAACAACTCCAAAAGAACGAAGGAAATGATTAACAGGGATAAAACCGGGCCCATCATAAACAACTACTCCAGCAGACTTGTCATGTACGCAAGGGAACAGCTGAGGCTTTCAGGAGAACTTTTCACCCAGATAAAAATCAGTAACCATTAACACGCACTTGTAAGAATGCTTAAAAGCTGTGGAAAACACAGCGGAGCTGCAGTCTCGAGGCTCTACAGATAAAGCTGATTAACAGGGATAAAACCGGGCCCATCATAAACAACTACTCCAGCAGACTTGTCATGTACGCAAGGGAACAGCTGAGGCTTTCAGGAGAACTTTTCACCCAGATAAAAATCAGTAACCATTAACACGCACTTGTAAGAATGCTTAAAAGCTGTGGAAAACACAGCGGAGCTGCAGTCTCGAGGCTCTACAGATAAAGCAGGCCTGTCCTCCAGGGACACGCTGCCTCCGGAACGCTGAGCGGCTGGGGGGGCTCCGGCCCGGCCGCCGCCCCGC